GCCTTCCTACCCTCAGCCAGATCAACACTCCCTCCCAACTTAGTGTCATCTGCAAACTTGCTGAGGGAGCACTCAATCCCCTTATCCAGATCACTGACAAAGATGTTAAATAGGACTGGCCCCAAAACAGAGCCCTGGGGAACACCGCTTGTGACTGGTCACCACCTGGATTTAGCTCCATTCACCACAACCCTCTGTGCTCGGCCAACCAGCCAGTTTTTTATCCAGCAAAGCATATGCCCGTCCAAGCCATACCCAGCCAGCTTCTCCAGGAGGATGCTGTGGGAGACAGTGTCAAAGGCCTTACTGAAGTCCAGGTAGACAACGTCCACAGCCTTCCCCTCATCCACCAAGCAGGTCACCTCGTCATAAAAGGAGATAAGATTAGTCAAGCAGGACCTGCCCTTCCTGAACCCATGCTGACTGGGCCTGATCACTTGGTTGTCCTGCATGTGACGTGTGATGGCACTCAGGATGATTTGCTCCATCACCTTCCGTGGCACCGAGGTCAGACTGACAGGTCTGTAGTTCCCTGGGTCTTCCTTCCGGCCCTTCTTGTAGATGGGCATCACGTTTGCAAGCCTCCAGTCGACTGGGACCTCCCCAGTTAGTCAGGACTGTTGGTAAATGATGGAAAGTGGCTTGGCAAGCACTTCTGCCAGCTCCCTCAGGACCCTGGGCTGGATCCCATCTGGCGCCATACACTTGTCTAAGTGGTGTAGCAGGTCGCTAACCACCTCTTCATGGATTATGGGGGCTTCACTGTGCTTACCATCCCTGTCTTTCTGCCCAGGGAACTGGGTACCCAGAGTACTGCTGGATTTCCTACTAAAGACTGAGGCAAAGAAGGAATTAAGTACCGGAGCCTTTTCCTCATCCCCAGTCACTATGCTTCCTCACACATATACTAGAGGGGGGACACTCTCCTTAGTTCTCTTTTTATTGCCAATGTATTTATAGAAACCTTTTATATTGTCTTTAACAGCACTAGCTAGATTGAGTTCCAGCTGCACTTTAGCCCTTCTAATTTTCTCCCTGCACAGCCTCACGGTAGCCCTACACTCCTCCTGTGATGCCTGCCCCTTCTTCCAAATATCATAAACTCAAATGATAATTCTGTGGGATTCAGAGAGGCTTTCTGTTCCCCTCCTACTGAATTCACCTGAAAGGTGTAGGCATTTGGTATAAAAAACAATCCAGAATTGAACACTTCCAAAAGATACGGAGTTTCTGCTGAAGATGATGGAGAACTGGAAGTAAAGGATGTGCTGCTTAAAAGCAGAATTTTTAGGGAATTCCTTGCTTGAGAAGCCATTAGAGTGCTAAGCAGCGTGCCACATTTTGGGGCAGTACATACGAACAATTCTTGGTATCATTTGAACATTACAGTCTCAGTATTAAGTTTTAATAAACTTTGTTTCTTGTTTGAGGAAAATATTTTATGTATTTTATGTTCTGGCAATGAACATTATGATAACTAAAACACATCAAAAGCAGTATTACTGTGCCAAAAGATGAAGCACTTCTTGAACTGATGACTCAAATACTGTTTTGTGTGTTCATGAAATGCTACTTCCAAGTAGCTCTTTTCTTGCTGTTCTTTTAGGTCTATTTAGAAAATTGACAGGAAATACCAGTCATTAGTTTATTACTACTAATTGAGCATTAGAAAAATTATTCTTGAGGTTTTAGCGGTTAAAGATAAAGCAAAGAAACGGTAACAAGATTAGGAACAATGAATTTACCTGATTTTCTGGTCCATTTCTTCTAAGGACTCCTTCTTTACTATGTCAAGCTCCTGCTCATGTTCTTTTCGCAGAGCGCGTAAGTCTTTTTGAAGATTATTCACTTCTTTGCGTAGTTTCTGTTTCTCCCTTTCAGTGTCATCTAGTTTAGTCTGCAAGTCCTTCTTCTGATTCTGCAGATCACCCAGTAACTTCTGCAGCTCCAAACCAGATTTAGCTTTTTCTTCAACCTTTTCCTCAAAAGCTTTCAGACTGTCATTTCTTTCATCCAACTGCTCCTGTAAACTTTTTAGCTTTTCTTCATATCTCAAACTCATATCCTCCCTCTCTAACTTACGGACTTCATTTTCCTTCACTAGATCATTTTCCAACTTTTTTATCTTCTGTTCTAAAGACTGACTGACTGCCTCCTTTTCCTGCAATTTTTTCTGGAAATCTCCAATTACATGCTCCATATCTAAGTGTTTTTGTTCTTCAGCTTTTAACCCTTCGCTAGTGCTGGCTAAGTCACCACCACAACGAGCATGTTCATCTGCTAACAGTGAGTATTTTTTGGTTTGCTCCTCAAGTTCTTTCCTGAGACTTTCAGTCCTACTCTGCCCCTCCTGATGGCTCTTCTCAACCCATTCTAGTTTTTTAAGGAGCTCTTCCTGTTTGTTCTGCAGTTCAAGTCGATAGTCATTGCTCTCTTGTAGTTCCTTTTCATACTTCTGCAACAATTCATCTTTTTCAGTTAAGCCCTTCTGTACGAGGAGCATTTTCTCTTCATACGTCTTTTGGACACTCTGGAGCATGTTATTTTTTTCTTGTTCTAAAGCAGCTTTTACACTCTCTACTTTTTGCAGCATTTCTTTCTCTAGTTCTGTGGAATCTCTTGTTGACTTAATTTTTTCTTCTAAGGACTCAATTTTGGCTTCTCTCTCCTGTACTTTTTGTTCCAAGTCTCTTAACTGATTTTCTCTATCTTGCTTAAATTGCTGCTCCTTTTCTTTCATCTGAGACAGCAGTTGCTTTTTAATAGACCCAATTTTTTGCTCTGCCTTCTTTTTCAAATCTGCCAGCTTAGTGTTGTTTTCTGCACTCAGTCTCTCTGCTAATTCTTTCAATTCTTCCTCTTTGCTTTTAAGCATTGCTGACTTTATTTGGTCAAATTCCCTCTCCTTTGCTTCAAAATCAGCTTTCAGTGAACCTATTTGCTTCTCAAGATTAAGCACTTTTTCTTCAGCCTCCTTAAATCTGTTGTCCTTTTCAGAAGCCACCTTCTCTGCCTGCTGCAGTTGCCAAGCTATCTCTTTTTGCTCTGAATCTTTTTGTTCATTATACTTCTTAAGTTCCTCCATCAAGGAATAATTTTCTGAAGTTTTCTGAGCAATATGTTCTTCTAGTTCAGTAATTCTTGCTGCTTGGATTTTTAACTTTGCAGTTAACTCACTTTCTTGCTTTTCCCTCTTGTTTTGCTTTTGTTCTAATTCACTTTTTAAGCTATCAAGATTCTTGCTTTGTTTAGCCAGCTGCTCCTTCAGTTTATTTAGCTCTTCATCTTTTTTATTGGCTTCAATATTGCTTAATTCAAGTTTGCTCTGCAAATCTTTAATAGTGTCATGATTTTGTGTAAACCTGGTTTGTGCTTTCATCTTCCACTCTGACAGCTTGCCTGTGCAATGATCTACCTGCTCAAGAGCTGATGCTTTTTCTTGACTCAGCATCTCAACTATGGATGATAACTCCTGTACCTGGCTTAGCAACTGCAACTGATCCTCTTGATGTTGCTTGCTTAACAGAGATATGGCTGCTTCCTTATCTGTTAAACTTACCATGCTTTCAAGTCTAACATTAAGGTCAAGAATTGTTCTGTTAAGAGCAGAGATCTCGGATTCTTTTTCCTGGAGTTCCTCCCTCATTGAGGTAACAGCATTGATATTTTCAGATAACTCTTTCCTCAGCTGTGTTATCCAAGTTTCTTTTTCCGATGCTGCTTGCTGCTGATGCCCTCCCTCTTTCTGCAATTGTTCCTTTTCAGTTACAAGTCCTTCAATGTCAGCTTTCATGGACATAATTAAATTATCCTTCTCTTGCAGCTCTTGCATTGACTTTTGCAAAGAAGTACTTGACGCAGAATGATGCTCTGTTACTTCTCTAAGTTGAGCTTCTAGTTCAGAAATCTTACTTGTTTTAATTAATACAGCTTCTTTAACTTTTGCAGTTCGGTGCTCACAATCTACAATTTTGCATGTTACTATGCCAATTTTTTCATTACATTTTTCAATCAATTCATTGCTTTTTGTTTGCAATAAAGCTTCAGCATTCTTCCAATAAGCATCCAACTGGGCTGCAAGCTCTACAGACTGACTTCTAAACTTCGTTTCTTTTAGCTGAACTGCCTCTATTTTTTTCTCATAATTTTCATGATCTTTATACTGGGAAGACTGCACACTTTGGAGTTTCGCTTCAAGTGTTTTTAGTGTATCAGCCAGCTCAGTAATTTTGGCTTTGTCATTTTCTTCAACTGCTTTCTGTTTACTGAGCTGTTCCTTAAGTCCTGACTGCTCTTTCAGGGATTGATTAAGATCATCTTCCAACTTGTTCAACTGTGTTTTCAGGTCACTTTCTTTATTTGACAAAGCATTCACCTTAGCCACTGACTGCCTTAGTTGTTCTCGCAAGTCCTTCAGGGACTCTTCCCTTTTCATCTGTTCTTCCTTTAGTCGAGTTATTTCTGTTCTGGACCCCTCCTTCTCAGCACTGAAAGTGGCAAGTTTCTGTTTCAGGTCTCCAACTTCCTGTTCTTTTTCTTGCAGTTCCATTTCATGTTTTTCCTGGAGCTCTTCAACCTGCTGATTGAGTTTCTTTTCCCAACTCTGGGTAATTTCTTCCAACTCCCTCCTATGAGCCTCAGCAAGACTCTCTAGTTGCTCCTTCTGATTAGATTCCAGTTTTGACACAGCGTCATTGATTCTGGCTGAGCTGGCATGTGCCATTTCCAACATTTCAGCATTGAATTCACTCTCTTTTTGATTGAACTCTAATTGCTTGTTTTCAAGCTCTTTTTTTAGTTTAGCCTCCTGCTCAGCAAGTTTCTTTTTGAAAGTTTCTTGCATATCTTTTGATTTCTGTTTGATTTTCTCAATTTTGTTCTCCTGACGTTTCAGTTTACTTTCATATTCTTCTTGTAAAGCACTAATTTTCTCCTCTGCGGCTAACACTTTCTGTTCAAGCTCTCCTACTTCCTTGTTCTGTAACTTCTTCATGTGTTCAATTTCATTTTCCTTCTCAGTTAGATTTGTCTTTCTCTCATCAGCTTCTCTTTGTAGATCCTTCAGATGACATTCATATTGTTGTGTTAGAGAGGTTACTTTTTGTGTATTTTCATTGCTTTGCTCTTCCAAACACTCCTTCAGGTCATGTACCTGAGAGATGTATGCCTCTAACTCATTCATCACTTTGCTCAGTTGTGATTTGGTTGTTTCTAGCTGCTCACAAAGTTGCAATTTTTCACCTTCAAGATCTATCAGCTTTTGCCGCAGCTTTGCTAATTCCTCTTCATGCACCTTTGTTTGCTCATTAGAAGTACTCTGATAAGACTCTGAAAGCTCCTTTAGTTTTGCAGACACTTGAACAAGTTCAGCTTCAGATGTTTCTGCAGATTCCTTTAGTTTCTGCTCATGTGCTTTTAGTTTCTCCAGAAGTCTGTCTTTCTCCTCCAATAATTGCTTGAGTTTGTTGAGTTCCTCTCTGAGTACCTTCTCAACACATTGAATAGCCATTTCATGCTCTTTTAACATCATTTCAACCTCTTTATTGTAGCGATTCTTCTCTTCTTCCAACTTTCCTTCCAATTCTTGCTTTGCTTCACATACTTTTCTAGTCAATTCTGAGACTTCTTGTTCTAACTCACAACGTATTTTTAGTGCTTCTGATAGCTCAGAAGATAGTGCTTCTAATTCTGTTTGTTTCACATCAAGTTTTTCTAATGTTTTTTCATTCATCTCTTCTATGTGTGCACGGAAAACTGTTTCTTTCTCTTTCAAAATTGTCTCTATCTCCTGTTCCTGTTTCTTTTTCATTTTTTCTATTTCAGTTACTTGTTGTTGCTTTAAGCTTTGAAGTTTTTCTGTCCAAAGCTTCTCCTGCTGCTGTTTCATATACTCCAATTCTTTCTTGTGTTTTTCAACTATATCATTAATTTCCTTATTGTGCTGCTTTTTTTCAGACTCCATCCAAGTACTTAATTCCTCTGATTGCTTTCTATCATCTTGGGAATATTTGGCAAGAGAGCTTTCCAGTTCAAGAATTCTCTATTAGAGAATACAGTTTTAAAAGAATATGAATATTCAAAAGGTAACAAGTTGATTAAATTTAAAAAAAATCTCATCAGGTTCACGTAACTGCAAGTCACTTATTTCATTATTTTTAGTGAACATCAACTTTTCATATAAGCCTTTCATTCACCTAGTTTGTTCTCAACTTTGCTTACATTATGGTTAGTTATTTAATGAAAAAAAGTTCTATTTCAGTGCAGTGAAAATAGAAACAATAAAACTTGGAAAGAATTAAAATTAAAAAAATTCAAATTATATTTATGAGAGATATGGTCACATTTTCTTTTTAAACTAAAGCACCGATACATAGGACGAAAGATTTTGGGAGTTTACATGAGTATTACAGAGCTTTCCACATATCTACTGATTTATCTTAATTCTGTCTCTCATGGAAATGCTGCTGTAAAATTAAAACAATTCTATAAGAAAAACTTACAAACTAATATTTGGAAGTGGTGGAATAATGTACAAATTTGCATTAGCAGATAATACAATTTTACCTATTACATAAAACAAAGGACACTTAATTTAAGCAAGTTTTTTACTTACTCAAGTATCCTTGTAAGTATCTCTATGGTACCGGTACCCAGAAGTTAAACAGCTTGAAGTTTAACTCTCTTGTATAGCATACATGATTTTTATGTAGATGGATACAAATTCATATCCTACATCATCATATAAAGTGAATGTATTTCTCTATTTTGCCATCTAATCTTGTAAAAAAACTAGGGACTGCAGCATACCATGGCAATACACTAAATTTCTGTCACTAGAAGCAGCATTGTTGAGATTAAACCAAGCCAATCACAATAAATCCAAAATAGTTGTAAATCTGTCACAGTTGAATATATACTGAAAGGAATTCTTGTAAAAATTTACCCTTTTGGAATCTCTACTCACAGTTCTAAAAGTCTCTACTTCTTGATGCATCTCCTGAACTTTCTTGTCACATTCTGACTGTATAGCTTTCTTCTGTAGCTCTAATTCCTCTAAGGCTAGGGATTCTTGCTGCTCTTTTTCTTGAAGGGCTTTTAAACACTCACTCTGATTTTTTTCCTGTATCAAAAATTACGATTAAAACAGTAAGTATAGTCATCACACCTTCAAAACCAGTATAATAGGAGTCAAACTAGTTACAAACTAGTACAAACTAGTTAATAGGAGTCATATACTAATTACCTGTATTTTTCACACACAGACAGAGTTTGTATTTAATCTGTGAAAACAAGTTTGCTATAAATCTCTCTTCTTGGGAACCATTTGTCTTCTACTTCTCTTTGTATGAAAAACATTATGCAATCCAGTCTTTCATTTTGGTTTGTTTACCATGATTGATCGACAGTAACACCTTAGAGGAATTAAGGTCTGTCCTCACTTGATTTCACTGCTAATGTATTTTAAAACTTCTATTCCTTACGATTTAAAAAAATAATAATAACTTGAGAAACATGTAGAAAATTATAGTCAACAAGAGACTGTCAAAGTCCCTCATTCATAGTCACCCACCAACATAGAAGAGCACAAAAGAGAATTTACTATTTGTTAGATAAAATTACATGATTATCTAAAGTGGATTACAGTTTATAAAAAAGCGCAAAGAATTGCAATGATTCTTCCCAGCCTGACCAAGAAGAAAATTATTTTCTGAGGTCAAACACTATTCACTGTTAACAGTGTTCACATAACACAATACAACCTGACATAGTAATACCAACACTTTTCAAATAACAGTCTCATTCTCTGTACCTCTTTAGTAGCTGTGGCTAATCGCCAACAATCCAGAAAAAATAAATTTAAAAAAAAAACAAACAAACAAACAAAAAAAACCCTAAAAATAAGTCTCTCACAAGATGCAGCCACTAGTGAGCAGTGATAGTGATTAATTATCATTATTCAGCTTGGATCATTGCAGTTACTTCTCTTTCATGTTGCTGAGGTCCCTGAACTCTTTGACTTTTGGAGGACACTCACATCTTTGAACACGGGACTCTCTCTGCGGAATAGGGTCAGATTAAGGCTTATCATTGCATACTTAAAGAAATGTCTTTCTATGCTTTTTAGGGATACCTACAAGAACTGCTTTCATCTTCTCCTGGAATGCCTCTTCTTGGGCCTGTAATCTCTCATTTAGCTCCTGATCTTTGGTAGCCATTTCTTTTTTATGGCATTTTTCTAGTTCAGAAACACGTTCCTCTGAAGACTTCTGTGAATCAAAGTCAGAAAAAACTAATTTCAAAATATTAAATAACAAAACAGTTTGTATTATTTCTTAATAAGAAAAGCGGTGCAAAGAGAGGAAACCAGAACCATCTCCTTGCTTTCTTTATATAAGTCACAAATCACTTGCAGTGCTTAATATTAGGCCCTGACAGCTCTTATTTTCAAGCTTGAAGTTATCCGTCTTCCTTCTCAAGTCTTTCAGTTCTACTAGAAGAAACACCACATGCTCTAAAGATTCTTCCACCAAGGTGAACTTGGTGTTTTCAGTTTCAGTTCTAATGTGATAATAAACTAGAAAAGGAACTTCTGTCTGCAGCTTTCCCTGTGTTCTTGTTATTTCATAAGCTAGAAAGTCAAGTGGTGATACTCTATGTAGACAGTTATCTACAACTTATGTATGTGCTTTATTTAGGAACAGTCATCCCCCTAAAGCATTAATGTAACCACTTAGAAAAAATAATAACATAACAAATGTCAACACAAGAACTAAAATTTAAAGATGTTCAAATTTATAGCTTTTCAAGGTATGTGCAGTACTCCTGCAATTCCTACCTGAATATGCCAGATGAAGCAAATTCTAGCAATTCTCAACTAGCAAACAGATTGACAGCAAATTCTTAAACATTTAAGCTAATGTTTAAGATTAATGTTTAAGGTTTTAAGTAAAGTCTTAAATATTTTAGCCTAGCACATACTGGACTATTAGCATAATTAAGAGTGGTTAGCATTAAAACACAAAATCCTGGTGGAGATGTGAACTGACTGCCATAAATTTCTTCAAATTTAAATTTGAAAAAATAAATTTCAAAAAATACCTCCATACGGATTTTTCTATTTTGTCTTAAGTAAATCTTTAATCCCAGAAAATAATTTTTACTAAGTTTATTAAATGGCAAAAATTTTATAACACAGTTCTGATATACTAATGTACTTTACAACTATAGTTGAAGTGTAATTGAATGATTAGATTAAAAGCCAGTAATACAAGGTAAATTTCAGCTTTTACCTTCATAATCTCAACCACCTCTTGTTTCACTCTCGTTAACTCCCGTTGAAGATTTACCCTCTCTTCCTCACTTGCCTTTTCTACTGCTTTGATTTTTTCATCCATTTCTGCCTGCAATTTTTTCCGGGCTTCCTCTGTCTTTTGGGCAATGCTTAGTGCCCTCTCAAGCTCTTCAAAAGCTGTAAAGGAAAAAAAAAAGTATGTGATAGTCAAAAAATACCTATGTCCCTTGTTAGAAGTACAGACTTCTCAGTAGCTGTAAATTGCACAAATAACAGAAGAATGAGCTTAGAAATCCATCAAGAATCCACATGGGTTTATTATCTAGAAAGGAAAGAGAACTGATAAAATCTGTAGCTTCTATTTCTTCCCTTAAAATCACTATAAAATACATGACTCCTCTTCTGACTATATGTGCTGAATAACTGAAGAGGAGGAAGAAAGCTCCATGAATAAAAGGCAATTCACAAGTTGTTCTGCCACTAAAACAAGCAGACAGAAGCATAAACCAGGAATGACTGCTATGGGAGTCAGTTTTTACTGAATCATGAAAAAAAAATTCTTCCTGAATAGAACAATGAAGTATAATACTAGGCAATTTATTTACCTAGCAGTTGCTCATTTCAAACTGTACAACCTAAATAATTGCCTCTTTAAACTGTGGGTTTGGTGGAATCCACATAGATGTCTTTGCTAATTTCATCATTTCACTATTTACTTTTCATGTAAACTAATATCAATGCAATTCAGACACACTGGAAAAATACTTGTGTGTTACAAAATCTGCCCTACTTCTAAATTTAACAAATAAAATGTAAGAACAAAATAGTTTTCTCCTAGAAAACTTGAATATCTGTGAGATGTTTCAAAAGAACACTCAAGCTGCAGCAATGAATTTTATTTATATTTGCATAAGATGTACAAGCCTCCTGAAACACATTTTCATTTACAACTTGGAAGCAATAATTTCACAGCTTCTTCCGTGCTAAGAAGTATTCTAACATACTTCACTCACTTCAGAGATGATAATTTAGATACAGAAAGAAAGCAAATAAATTCCCATGTTGTGAGCTGTATTATTATTATTCAATAACAATATTCAAGTTCCTCACCAAAACTGATGGCAGAATCCATATAAAATTACACAAGACTAGAATTTATTACTATTAGGAAATCTCTTTTCCTCAGTAGGAAGTCTTGATGAGCACAAAAACATCTAAAAGTATATTATTCTACTATACCCTAGACTACTTGGATACTGGTCTGGGAGCAGAGAGAACAAAATAATTTTAGAAGTGTTATTTAGTATCCAAACTTACTTCTACTTAGTTCTGTCCCAAAAAGGAAATCATAATAGACATATACATCTCTAGTTTCCTTGATTCACCATTACTTAGTAGGCATTCGCAGCAATTTTCATAATCCCTGTTTTTTTGAAAATATCTTTAATAACATTGAGGCATGAGCTTGAGAAGTGAATAATAATTTCCATTCTTCATCTTCTGACAACGTTCTAAATGGAAGCTTTTAGCCATAATCTGTACTTTTGAAGCAATGCTGCAAATATGTTTTCGAGTAACTTAATGGCATAAAATTGCTTTCCCTCAAATTCTGACCTTTTCCAGAATCATCATCTTTTTTTTCTGAAGAAGCCTTTCTCTGACTACACACAGCAACATTTTAGGACAGAACAGGATTGTTATTGATCCTGGCAATACCAAAGCACGTCATTGTATCCACTTTTTCACTCCTAGTTCTACTTAAATAATAAATACTGAAACTCACCACAAAAAATTTAAGAGCACTAGAGATTATTTCAAACAGTAAAACAGCCTAAAACATAATGTAAGCATGCACAAGGCTTATAGCGCCTTACTTTCCAAGCACAGTTCTTCACAGTTCCAATCGAGGTATGTCATCTGGGACCTGCAGGACTCCCACCTCGCTACCCCAAACACAACTCAGTTACGAACACAGCCTGCACAAGGGCGTTTGGAGAATGTCACTGACCTCCCTGATGCTCCTCTCAGCCCTCACAAAAGCACTCACAGCCAGCAAAACTGGCCAAATCTTTCAGTATTACAGCATCATAAATAATTTTTTAAAAAAGAATCCAAAACAAACGTACAGACCTTTACAAAGTATAGCTTGAAAATAAAGCCTGCAAGTAAAAGATCAAATTATTTAATTTCTCCATGCACATTTTCTGATTCTTGGTCTGAACACTTTCTTTTCATTTGAGAAAACTGTTACTTCTGCAAAAAGAATGCATTTGCAATAGCCCACAGATCCACCAAACAGAAGATCCAGGTTCACACTAGGATGACTACAGATATTTAATAGCTGAGAACATGCAGTACAGCAGCTGCATCATGGTAATTGCAAGCACGATGCTAATACAAAAGCTAGAAAAAAGCTGATGGATAAAATGCCAGGGGGTATGAAAGCACAAAGAAGCAACACTTCACAGAAACACACTTAGCTCTCTAAAAGTTAAATTATATGCATCTCAGGCACTTTTAGCACTTCAGCAAAACAGATCATTTTTATAAAGAGTAGTTAATTCTAGTGCAGCATGACAAAGCTGAGTTTCAAACCAGCAGAGGGCTAAACTATCGGTGAGTACACAGAACATGGTCTAAATTACTATTATTATTTTTATTCTACGGGAAATCTTAATTCTACTGTGGATAAAAGCCTGGAATAAAAGTTTGTGTTTCTATCCAAATACATCTATTCCAAATGCGAAGAGAAAAGGCACTGCCTGTATTCCTCCCCAACCAGCAGAGCTGCTGTTGAGGGAAGATCTTTTAACCAAGTACTGGGTAAATGAAGTCTCAGACAGGCACAGTGACAAATCAGAAACAGTGACCAAAGTACCAACAGAGCCTCAGGTGAGTCCTGCAAAATCTCATTCCTGTGACCAGCCAGACAAACCAGAAACCTTCCTGTGCAGTATATAAATTACACAAAAAGAACCTGAGCAGAGTTTAAGGCTGCAAAACTGATTTCTCAAATGTGTGCTAGAGAGTTAACTGCTTTACATACGCTACTCCAAAGTACCAGTCTCAGTCCCCCTTTGCATTGCCTCTCTCCTACCCGGTGCAACACCAGTCCCTATTGCAAAGACTTCTTGCTCACACTCCCGGTGCTGCAGATGTGTTATCTTCAGCGACAGTGCCATCTACCGCGGAAAACTGGGAAGAAAGCACTAAACAGGATGGCAAAGGAGGGATCTACATCTTCTCTTACGGGAGGCTGAGAACAGGCATCTTGTCAGAAGTTTGAGAAACAAATGTTGACTTAATTTCCTACAATCGATTTGTGCATCTAAGCAGGATTTTAAATGCACAGTCCAAGCTTTTTGTTTCTCTGCAGAAGGGTGGAAAGCTTTAATTAAGCATGTAAAAGAAATGTTGCCTATTAAGAGTGGCAAAGTAAAGCAAAATGAATTTGCTTTGTGAAGACCGTGTTTTTGTTTACTGTACAGAATACAAGTCAGTCAATAATCTGCATCCTGAGAAGTCAAAAAGGACTAACGCCAAGTGGTCTTGTGAAAAACAAACTTCTGCTAACCAGTAAATTTACGAATGCTATAAGCAGCTTTGTTGAAGTAAAATGTAAATAATATATGTACATAGCAAGGCATTAAAAAAAATCAGTTGCAGTTAGCTCAAGTAAAAGTACCTGAGAAGCACAGAATTTACTTTTTAGAATCCAGTTCAAGCACTCAATGTGTGGATGTAAGAAAAAAGAGCCCTTACCCCAGTCCTGTTCATACAAGGCTTGGGAAAGGCACCATGATTCACTTATTGGCATGTGTGGATGCACAAAAACAAGATGCTTTGTGAGATTTCAACATAATGTACCTCTAACTACAAAAATAATGAACTTCAACTGGAGAGACCAAGATACAATTTACACAACGTGCACACAATACCTCTTCACTATTTCAGTACCCAAAAATGCATTAACATAAAATCAAACACTGTAGCATTTCACTAAAGTCACTGAATTACAAAGAAAAAAGCCAGACACGTAACTCTAAGCAAGTTAAAACACATGAAGTGGACAAATATGCCACTTCTTAGCCTACAATATAGCACTTTGAAAGTAAATTCCAGCTACGAGTATATTATGTCTATTCCTTATTTTGCCCTAATAGAAATGAAATTAATATTTCTACAATTATAGTACTACATAAAGTCAATTCTCGAATAAATCATGATACAGTGAAAGAGAAGTCTAGTATTTAAAGTTATCTCACATTAAATCCTCAAGAAGCAGAACTTTAAGCACACTGAACTCAAATACACAAAACTGACAAATTGTTAATACTGGTTCAATGTAAAGGTTGTGGCCTAGAAGTCATTTCAGTCTCCCCCAATATTGATGATGTTTTTCACAAATGTCTGAACAATTTAGTTCAACTGTATTGAATTACACTTGCATTGTAAGTCACAATGTTTTTGGAATGCATGAAGCCAAAGAAGTAACAGGAAAACCTAACAAAGGTCTCATTACAATTTTGCGTATCTTAGATGCAGTACTAATTTTCCAAGGGTTCCAACATGTATATATGCATGTTTGACAGAGTACAAAAATAAATGCACTCAAAGGTAAAGTGGCTGCTTACGCACCATGAAAGTTACCAAAAGTACTTAATCCAAAATTTTATTTAAAGAGAGCATGTTTAACACACAAATCTCACCTAGAAAAGTGCAGTGTACTCAACACGTTATTAATAACTGAAATGATTTATCGCTACAACAGTTAAGTCTTCCAGGTATTCAGAGCATCATCTCTAATCTATTTTCAGCTTCTGGCTATGCAAACCTGAGGGAAATTACTGTATTAACCAGAGCATGTAGAAATTAGGTCATAAACAAGAGATTTATACTGCTTCAAAAAATGCTGCGTTTCAAACAACTATGACAATAAGTTTGTATCTACAGAAATATTAAAATATTATTCAGATTATTATTATTTTTTTAATTATGACGAAAAACTTCCCAGTCTCCAAGCACTGAACAAAATCCAACTTTAGCAGGACTGATTTACTACTGAAATATGAATTTCCAGAGCTAAGAAGACATATAACCTGAAAGGGTAGGAGAGGAGGGCACCTTATCAAAATATTTGTTACTTTCACAAGATGGATGTTCAGGCTCCTTTTCTGTATTATGGCAGAATGCTCTATCCAAACTAACCTTTAAATTTGAAAGTTCTGATCTAAATCTATGCAGATTTAAAATAAACTCCTATGAACTGTACTGTTTGAACTTCTCATCACTTTTTAGACAAAGAAAATATGCATCATGTTTCATGCAAACTAACCACATCTGAGCTTTTGCCAAGAGTGGACTTCTTTAGATGCCTATGAGAGTAAACTAAATTCTTCTAAAAGAATTCTGATTGATACAGTGGAAAGCAAATTTACTGTTTAAAAAACAAAGGTGGGGCAGATTGACCTTTTAACTTAGTTTCAAGCAGAAGGAGAACCGCAACCACACAATGAATGTTACCCAGTTTCCATCAGAAGTAAACTAGAATAATAGAATCCCAGGTCAGAAGGGACCACAAGGATCATCTAGTCCAACCTCTCAAGGTAAAAGTAGAGTTTAAATGAGATGAGTCAGCACCTTGTCAAGCTGACTCTTAAAACAGACCAATATATGGGAATACACCACTTCCCCTGGGAGATTATTCCAATGTCTGATCTCTGTAGAGAGAGCAAAAGTTAGTCACAAAGTCCAAGTCATGTACACCATGTAGCTGCATGCCTGGAAGCATGAAACTCAGCACTGGGAGAGGTGGCAAGCACTGCAGGTGGCAAGCACTGGGTGAAGTGGCAACCATCACTAGATCTATATCTGGTGTTATCTGGATGCCTGGAGGAGTGTGAGAGGAGGCTGAGGCCTCATGGTCCCAGTCCTCCATTTCTTTCCGCCTCAAACAAAAGGAGCCATTACCTCTACCCATGCAGGTGTGAATTAACAGACTTTGTGACATTAACATAAGTGATAAGATTGTCTATAGTCATCCCCACCTGCATGTATGCCCTGGTGATGTAATGCAGAAATTTGAGTAATAACTAAAGATAAGGGGAAACACTGCTAAAGACAAACACCCCAGGTGGTCTAATCCACTCAGGCATCCTCTTACCTGCTGTCACATACATTCATGCTAGCAATGAGGAGTTACTCCTCCAGCTATGGAGTGATGAGAACCTTCCCCCTTGGTCGGAATGCTGGCCAAGGTAACTTACGTGGGAGCCCTTACCTGGAGGACAGGATGAGCTTGGAACTATACCGATGAACTGGACAGATTGACGAATTTGATCCCTCTCCATCCCCACTTCTTACCTGCTGTCACATACATTCATGCTAGCAATGAGGAGTTACTCCTCCAGCTATGGAGTGATGAGAACCTTCCCCCTTGGTCGGAATGCTGGCCAAGGTAACTTACGTGGGAGCCCTTACCTGGAGGACAGGATGAGCTTGGAACTATACCGATGAACTGGACAGATTGACGAATTTGATCCCTCTCCATCCCCACTGCTCAGGTCACCTTGTGGGTAAGATTATTTACCTCAGCTAATGCTGAGTGATGTATTTCCTCCTCAGGTTCATACTCCCTGAGTGTATTTTATATTTCTCCTCAGGTTCATTTCTAGGTTTCCCTGACTGTATTCTTGGTTTTGCTCCACTGTATTTCTGTTTGAACGGGCTTGTTTATTTGCCAGGCGGCCAGGCTTACTGTGAGCAAGTTGTTGTTAGTGTTTGTGTTTTATAGTGCATTGTTGTTGGTGTTATATTAGTTATACAACCATCAGTGTACCTGTAGCTTTTTAATTTATCACCGGCAATCCAAAAGAACCTGTAAATGTTGCTGTAAATAAACAATTATTATATTTTTCCCAACTTGCGTCTGTCCCATATTTGGTGCCGGCCTCACAAGATCAGATCTATTTCCCCGTTTTCACAACAATCTCATGGTAAAATATTTTTTTCTGGAGTTCAATCAGAATCTCTCCAGAAGCAACTTGTGTCCATTACCCCTGTTGTCCATGTGATTCCTTGTGAAAAGGGAGTTTCCTTCTTCTTGGTAGCCACCCTTTATGCACTGGTACATGGTAATAATGTCCCCCCTAAGCCTTCTCTTCCCAAGGCTGAACAGGCCCACTTTACTCAGCCTGTCTTCATATGGCAGGTCTTCCAGTCCCCTGATCATCCTCGTCACCCTTCTCTGGACCCCTTCCAACCTGTCCGCATCTTTTTTGTATGGCAGGGACCAAAACTGGACACAGTACTCAAGGTGTGGTCTGACCAGTGTCGAGTAGAGAGGGATAATGACTTCTTAATCTCTGCTGGTGATGCCCTTTTTAAGGCAACCCAGGATCCTGTTGGCTTTCCTTACAGCTGCAGCACACTGGTCACTCATGTTGAGCTTGTCATCCACCAAGACCCCCAGGACCCTTTCCACAGGGTTGCTTGTTACAGAACTGCGAGGTTCCAAGCCTAAAGCGAATCATCACTGCAGTTTCACTAAAAAGAAAATCAGGAACACTTCCACTACAATTACTGAAAGAAAATGCTTATTATGTTTGTAACACATCTTCTTGTTTCTACTTCTTCCCAAGCTCTTATATACTCACTGCTATGTTTTCTATGTAAAAGACTGGCAGCATTATAATAATAACTTATGGATAACTGCAAGTTTTATTCCTGAAGATATACCAGCAAAAAAAAATAAAAATCAATCTTTTCTCCTACAAACAGGAAAGTACAGCTGCTCTTCAGCAGTTTCCTTCCTAACTCCAACTGAAATGACAACAGAGACAAACTATTTAAAAACATTCGAAAACTCTGTTGATCAGAAGTATTAGTAAGTAGGAGAAGTGTTAGTAATGACGCCAGCAGGGATGATATGTAGAACATGAGGAAAAAGAGCATCTCTTAATATTCATTCCAAACAACAACTGATGAGAGAGTGCAAAAAGACCATGCTAAAGCTTTCTCATGTTTAAATATAAATGTAAAAATCTTCAGAATTTCTTACCAGCTCTTTCAGATTTTTCTTTCTGTTCTTTTAATTCCTCGCCTTTTGTAGTCATTTGTTTGATCCGTGCACGCAGTTGGGCTATTTCCTCCTCCTTCATTTCCAGTGTTTCATGCATTTGTCGCTTTGTCTCTGCAATTACCATACCCTATGGAAAAGGTCCTTGTGATAAAAAGCTAGCAAATAAATAAAACATATAGCTAAAACAATTTCAAGCCATGACACAATCACTGTCAGGAATAAACTTTAATCTATTACTACAGGGCCAGAAATCACAGAATTTTTCTCTGTCAGAAAATAGAAAATGATAGCAAAAAGAAGATAAGAACAAGGGATTATTCTGAAAAGCAGGCAAAATTTATCTAGTGGTGAAAAGAACTCCTCCAGCAACTAAGGATCATCAAGAAAACTTCCTCCCTCTGGTACAGATACTGTTCTTTGAAATACGCATTCTGTAAACAAACCAAAAGTAAATGCATTGTAGCATGTGTACTTGTCCTTAGAGAACATGCATATATAACGAGTGTTAGTCATGTTGCTTATTACACCACCAGAAGTTACTCCAAGTAAAAAGACTGATAAAAAAAAATTAAGGAATGAAAAACGGAGAAACTCTTCATATACCTACGAAACAATAGTTAATTTTCCTTCTTTGGTAATTTTAAAATTAATTTACATTGTATGTCATCATTTTTAGTGTTTGGGGGAGTTCTATTCGGTTGTTTTGGTTTTGTTTTGGGTTCTTGTTTCGTTGGTTTTGGTTTGGTCTTTTTTGTGGGGGTTTTTTTGTTGTCCTTTTTTTGGTTGGTTGGTTTGTAATTTTTAAAGCTGGCACTGAGGAGTGCATTCTGGATTGAGAGCAGCCCTGAGGAGAATAACTTGGAGATGCTGGTTGATGAGAAGCTTAACACAAGTTGGCAATGTGCATTTGCAGCCCAGAAAGCCAACTGTACCCTGGGCTGCACCAAAAGAAGCACAACCAGCAGGTCGAGGGAGGTGATTCTGCTCCTCTATACTCTGCTCTCCTGAGACCCCACCTGGAATATTGCCCTCAACATAAGAAGGCATGAACCTGTTGGAGTGAGTTGAGAGGGGGACCACAAACATGTTTTAAGTGGAGAGCGCTGGAGCACCTCTCCTATGAGAACAGGCTGGGAGAAATGGGGTTGTTCAGCCTGGAGAAGACAAAGCTCTGGGGAGACCTTACAGCAGCATTCCAGTCTCTGAAGAGGGACTTTTTACAAGGGCATACAGTAATAGGACAAGGGATAATGGCTTTACACTGAAAGAGGCTGGATTTATATTAGCTACAAGGAAGCAATTCTTTACTGTGAGGGTGGTGAGACACTGGCATAGGTTGCCCAGAGAAGCTGTGGATGTCCCCTCCCTGGAAGTGTTCAAGGTCAGGTTGAACAGGACTTTGGGCACCCTGGTCTAGTGGTAAGTCTCCCTGTCCATGGCAGGGGGTTTGGAAATGAGTGAACTTTAAGGTCCCTTCCAACCTAAACCATTCTATGATTCAGCATAATTGCTCCATCCTAAATAACATAATCTTGCAGCATTACACATAACCTAACAGACAAATACCCTAAGTATCTATATAATAAAATTCTTGGGTAGCTTCAATTATTTTCTCAATAAAATATAAACCAAAAATCACATCAGACAACTCAGAACAGTTCCTAATACCAAGCAGTCAGATATTCTGAATTTTGAACAACCTTCTTCAAAAACTATTAAGTTTAAAGCTTATGAAGTTTATTTTTTTTTGTTTACCTTGTCTTGTTCTAGCTGCTCAATCAAGTTCTTTGCATCACGCAGCTGTGTAATCAGTTTAGCCTTCTCAGCCATGTGAAGGTCCTAAAAAAAACCCAAATAAAACCAAACAACAACAAAAAAACAACCAACCACAAGTTTAAAGCACTGCCATCTGTAAGAAAATACCTTCTTCCAACAAACAGCTTAGGTTTGGCTCTTATCCTGCACTATGCCTTAGAGGAAGGGCACAGAACAGAATCCAGGGAAATTAAATAGGCAGATATAAATTACTTTTACGTCTCGTAGTGCTAGATTGCCTTATGGTTGCTATTATGATTCAGCTATCTGAAGGCTTAGTTATAGACTCCACATTTGGCTCACGGATCTCAGAGCTGCCACAGTAAAACGGGCAAGAAATATACCTAAGGCATGCAGGTAATACCTGCATCTCTGCTTACAAGAGGATCTCAGCAATGCAACATAATTGCTCATTATTGCCCTTGTTCTGGAAAAGATCCTTGAAAAACTCGAAGTCTTTCAGACCTCTTTCAAACTGGGCTAGTGCTCAGAGATCAAGACAGAGAAGAGATTCTGATCTCCAGAAATGAAGTTGAATACATATATACTTATCACGTTTTCATGTTTTCATTACTATCAGCCACCGTACTTTTACTCCACACCCAGCATTAATGGCCTTAAAAGAAAATTGTGCAAATACTAATTTAGCTTTGGGACTGCACTTACGTCACCTTCACTATACTGTGCTCTCCACTGTTCTGCCTTTTAGTGTTTTCTGTTTATTTATGTAACTGAACAGTGCCTCTTCCACTATGTCTCAGACGTTTAGCTCAGCTCCACTTTTCTCACTTTACCTCCTGTCTTCTGCACTAGGACAGTCTTTTTCTCACTCCAGCTTCCCACTGTTACTTTATTTCTGATACAATTTTTATGGTTATTCGCACAGGAAGGTTTTATATCCTTCTTTACAGCTTTCTGAGTAATTGCTCAATGTGTTCATTCCAGGTGGGTTTTGCCACTTTTACTCCACAAAAGTACAAGGACAGTCTGTTTACTAGTATGCTCAATTATTAAATTTTAGAAATACTGGGAGTTCTTACTGTGTTTTAGTAAATACTGGAAGTTAAGAGCATTTTCAATACCTTCATTTTCTCCAGTTCCTGAAGCCTCTCTTCTAACTGTTCTTGAAGTGCCTCTTTCTCATTGGTTAATTGGGCACAGCACTCCTTATGTGACCGAATCATCTCCTTGCAGCGTTGCAGCAAGTTCTCTTGGCGCTTCATCCTCTGATTAAGAGTTTCCAGTGTTTTAACAGAGTCTTCATTACTCTCTACAGGAAAACATACCAACATTATCATATATACACCATTTCCAAAACGCAGATCTGCATTCATCATTCATGTTACAGGTGACTCACAGCTACCATACAAGCTTCAAAAACAAACTATTACTCAATAAGGTTTCCTACACAGTTAAAAAGTCATGATTTATAAACGTGCCTGCTGCTACTAACAGAATATTCACAAGCAGGCAAAAAAAGCAAAGCAAAGCAAATCACATCTCTCAAGTGCCAAGCGCATAGATTCCTGCTTTCCCAGGGCTGGGTATGATGTTAATTCTAAAATACCCAGGTTGGCAATACTACATTTGGCAAGAAGGCCATGTTTAGTATCTTTCCGAGCTGTACACCTCTCTGTACAGCTAGCACACTGTGTAATATTTTAGTGTGTTCTGCTCTGATACGCTGGAGGCTGTAAGAGTATTTGGCATGAAAACAGAATCAGACAAATTCAGAGGTTCAGTTCATGACCGTAAGTCTTATAAAACTTTAGTCCAGAAGCAGACTCCAGCAAAGGAAACATCGCACTAAAAAAAGACATTATGCTAGCTAAGAAAATCTCTGATCTAACTCTTCATATCATCCTAACATATAAAAATCATGGCAGTTGCTGAACAATGATCATTTCAAGATGCATGCTCACCTCTCTCTGAGCCCTACATTCCCTACCCTATGAAGGATACCAATTAAAGACACTTTCATTATGTATCAGCATTAAATGTTCCTTGCTCAGTAATCAAATATACACAATACTTAAAGTCCATAACATTTGAGATATAACTCAAATAACCTCCTGTGAGGAAAAGTTAAAATTATTCCATAGCACAGATATAAAAATTGATCTTTGCTTTTAGTTTTTCTTGAGAAAACAAACAAAAAAGACTGGCCCTTGCTTATGGGGGACAGAATCTCTTAATCATGTTAAGTAGGAATAGTAACAACACCTGCCAACAAATGCACTGATTACAATACTATCATCACTAATGACAATGGCAAGACATCAGATTTGAATTCCTATTAAAATTTAGGATCTTAGATGGGTTATCCTGTTCTCTAGCTGCCCCACTGTTTTGAAAAGAATTGTCTCCTACAAAATATATCCCTATTATGACATGTTCAGCCCTAAGTATTGTTACTCCATCACTAGTAATAGCCGATTTATTCCCCAAAATTCAAGATCTCTTGAAAAAGCCACAATACCTACCATTGCTTCCTGGTTCCACATTATTTTCTGTACTGATTTCTTTCGTTGGACTTTGAACTTGTTGTTCAGATTGGATATTTTGATCAGGCAATTCTGTGCTTATCTGACCATTCTGTAACCTCTGTTTCAGCAACAATACCTAAAAAAAATGTTCCTTTTGTTAAATAAACCCAAGGATTTTAAGTAGATCATGTTTTCATCTTCAAAACTAGAGAGAGTTAAATAAAACTGATACCAGCAAGTAGAGAAAGGAAAAATCAGTCTGAATTTTTTTAGCATTTTTTGAAATCAGAATTATGTTTTCAACTAACAAAAAACAGTATAATTGAGAGGAGAAACAAAGACCAATTAAGCAAAACAGAAATTTTGCCAAAGCAATTTTAGCTCAAACATCTGCTAATATGTTCTTGATAACAAAGACTTACAAAGGTTTATAAGGTATAAGTGCAGATCAAATAAATATATTTAACATGAGTGAGATTTTACAAAGGTATCCTCTGCCACAAAGATGCACTTAATTTCTCGATAATCATAAATTCCCAAGAAGCCTAACAACTCAGCAGCAATTATAATAAAGCATAGATATGCATTATATACATAATGCAAAATAGGTGGAAAATATGTAGGAAATACATAATTTTAAAAACATCAGAAGGAAGAGCAGTTTTAAAGAACATCTGTTGGGTAAGGTATCTTACCTGAGTTTGCAGGACACTAATAAGTTGATCCTTTTCTTCTAAGGAAGCATCAAATTCCTCTTGGAGATGCTTCTTTGCTTGTTGATCCATCTGGAGCTCCTGAGAATCATAAACAAAGGCATCTCAGATGAAAACTGAAATGTGAATTTAAAAGGCTTATCAAAATATTATGAGGTAATACTAAAAATACCTCTTTGCACTTGTGACACCAGCATACAACCACAAAGTGGTTATTTCTTTTACTGTACAACATTCCACACAACATAGTAAGAATATATACTATGGTATATATAATATATACCATTATAACACCCAGCATTAAAACAGCAGGATTTGATGCAAAATTGTCAAGGATTCTTTCTTCCTAAAAATAAGTTTGTGTAGAGGTCACCTCAAGCCTGCTCCTGAAAACTGTTTTCCATGCACACACTTCTCCTGGAAGTTAAAGACCGCACTTCAGTAAACTGGATTTTTCATTTAGCTACCAGATTAAAGTCAACATAAACAGTAGAAATGTAAATTTCTCTAACATTTATTCAATATGCTAGCATTCTAGTATGACAAATGCCATTTGTAAGAGCTGTAAGTTGGCTTTTTTATTCCTCAACTGTGTCTCAAATGAGAAAGACAGAGAGTACCAAAGAACTTAACTGTGTAGCTTTACTTGCATCTATTTGGCTGATCACCTTTAGAAACTTGTACATGTTGCCTAAATACATTAGTAGGATCTACATAACCTTATAAAATACTGTCTTAGGGAGGTTTCTTTTACTTCCTATGCTTTTAAAGTTTAAATATTTATATTCTTTAACTAATTACTGTTGTAACAGAAAATAAATATATTTAAATTAATTCACATACAACTGTTTATTGAGAGAATCAGAACCATACAACACTTCATACATGCACTACAAATATTCCCAAACTGCTGTCTATCCCTTACCTCCAAAAGTGAATCTCTGCTGCCATGGCTGAGCCTGATACCGACTCTGAGAACCACAGCTGTGTGAGCTGAGCCTGCCCAGCCATGCACAGGCAGGACAGTGCCAGAAGGCACCATGGGAAAACCATTCTTCTCTCTTCCCAAGTACCTGTATCCACTCTTTAGTCCTGCATTGCCTCAGGTTCTCAACACTTCCGCCTCATGCTTCTGAGCTTTGGAAGCAATTCCTTCCAAGCACAGCAAAGCAGCTCAGTGGAAGAACAAGTGCCAAAGAGATTTACTGAAACCAACACAGAAATAGTCCTCTTCAGATCCCAAAGTCCCTTCTGACACTTGTCTGAGAAGGGGAACACTGAAGCCTACTTGAAGACAGCTGCTGAAGAATTAATCTTAAGAGTAAAAAACTAAAGTGAAAGACACATTGATTTCCAGAGACTATTTCACACTGTCAACTTGGCCTCAAAGGAGACTTAGTTTATTCTTATATGGTCCTCTTTTAGAAGAAACTTGTCTGAATCAACACATTTATGGGGAGAATGGACTGTATGATGAAGAAAAAGATTTTTAAAATTAACTTCTGGTAACAAATTGACCTATTTTGTACTGTTTTAGCTTCTACAATGGAAATGCGTAATTTTTCTTTTAAGTCTGTTTTACCTAATGCTACGACACCTGAGCTTCCAAATGACCAAGCCACTACTTTTTGAAGTTTTTAAAATAATAAAAAACGAATTTCAGTGTTAAATTTGAAGGAGTCTTTATAAGAACAACATTAAATTTTATGCCAAATATGTATATAAATATATATATATAAACCACAAATATATATCTATAACTTTTATGAATATATATATATCTTCTCAAAGAATATGACAGAAGAAGTGAAAAATAAGTATGCACACATCCAACCCTTTTTGACAATCAAAAGCTTTAACTCTGGTGTATATATAAGACTTCCAAACTTTACCAAGTACCAATATGCTGGAAAACTAAACCTACTGGAGCATCCAGATGTAGACTTAACACAGAATGAGCTTCTTTCATCTGACCTTGTAATGAACAGAAAAAAATAAATTGGAAATCCACTTCTGTCAGTAATGCTGTGGGTTTTCCCCTCCTATGGGCTGACAGTTCAGCTTAGGACAGGGCAACAGAGCAGGCACGGGTTCTGGCTCAGACAAGCACAGTGCACTCAGCATTCCAGCTCACTGTTCTCAGCTGTTGGGGCAGAAGCAAAGTGAATCCGAATCAAAACGTCCCTCCTGTCGCACACACCATTTCTCAGCAGGCTTACCTGGATTACACCCCACAGCACTGAAGAAGCGAGCTCTGCAATTTGCCAGTGACCTTCTTTGAAATGACTGGCTGCCTGACTGGTCACACAAGGGCAGCCCCTTATGGGTGAGCATGAGCCTTGGGTACATGCACATGTGGATGGCTCAGTCACTGCCCCTCGTCCTCAAGGGACCAACACTGTCTGCAGGCAAGACACCCGACTGGCTGGACCTCATCTGCCTTCAGGCAAAGGTGGGATCTCACCTTAGTCTGATGGCTCTTGCAACCTCCACACCAGTGGTGCTGCTCAGCACAACACACACCAAAAGCAGGAGTGCAGCCACAGGGGAAGACTATGGCTTTGAGCAAGCTGGTACTCAGCTTCCGAGCAAGGTAAGAGAGAGGCCCTCACACACCCATCTCTGAACCTGATGCTGCACTGCCTCTTGGGGCAGTAAAAAAGCTTCTGCTTCACCAGAGTTTGACAGTATGTCTTTTGTGAACTAGCCCTTTTAATTTACTCTGCCCAATAATTCGAACATGTCTTTTAATTAAGCCCAATGTGGTCATTATCAATACCAAATACATTAGAGCCTCTCCTCTTCATTTCACTATAACCTAAGGACACAATCATAACACAACCTAATTTTGTGAATGAAATCAAACTATACTGTAAATCCATAAAAACAATGTAAGTATTATAACTGAGATCACGATGAATATTTTTTAAAAAATTGATCCAAAGTTTTTTTGATAGTCATTAAAATTTTTATTAAAAAGTGCCTAACATTTGTATTTCTCAATACTAGAAGAGCAACAAATTGCACAGGGACATCTATTGCTGGGCCCAACAATACTGCAAGAACCACACACGTTTTTACCTCTTTCACAATTAACAGAAAAGCAGCACAGTCAGTGAACTGCTCTTAGATTATGACAGTAAGCTGCCGAAAGGGAAACAAGACAGAGAAATAACACCATATAAACAAATGAAAACAAGAGGTAAAAAACCCTGCTATGCAATAGGAAATATTTTATAAAGTGAACAAAAAGAAAAATATCAAAAGCTAGGCAGAGAAAGATTCTATGTACGTGTGGTATAAAGTAACTATTCAATCAATAAAGGAAATTACCTCTCTCAGTTCTCCAATTCTGCGAAGTGCTTTATCCTGACTTTGACTCAGAATGCCCTTAAAAAAGGAAGAATAAACATCAGGTATATTAAATGTAACTTTATATATAAAAGTATAGACACATTCATAGAACTGTGTTTCAGCAGAAGAATTAATAACTTGTATTTCTCTTTCAAGTCAAACTTGATGTGTATTATCATACACTGCCAACTGTGGGTTGGCAATCACCTCAATTCAGCTGACGTAGTCCAACTTTTTTTTATTGCAATAACTTCACAGTTAATTTGACAAACCAGTATTAGCTCAGCTTCCTTAGAAATCTCAGGTAAGAGTCTTTCATTATGCACACACACATAAATATATGCACAAAACAGATTGAGTAAACATACAACACACTGAAAATGAAATCTGTAGTTGCACTACACATTTTAAAATTTGGAAAAGCATTCAGGTAGGAGAGGATGAAAGGCAATGCTTACCTGTAGCTTCTTCTTCTCCCGCTGGATGATTTGATAAGCAGACACTAGCTAAAATACAGAAAACAGGTACAATGATGACAATGCATCCACTTATAGCTATCAAAATTATTTGCTTAGTTGTATCACTATCTGCATTTTTAAACTCTTCACTTGAGAAAGCTCTTCTGACACAAATATACTTACCTTTTCTCAATGTTTCCTTTTTCCATTTACAAAATATTTCCAATGTGTTAAAAAAATAAAGCAAACATGACAAAACAATGAGGTTACTCAGCACTCATGCACAATTTTCCCTTCACTAAAAAGACCTCTAAGAATAGCAGGCAGTCAAAAAAAAACTGTATCAGAAAGTTACACCCCAGACAGCCTCTCTACAGGGATATACATTTGTAATGTAATGTGTCCCAGAGAGCTTAACTAAAATCTAATTTACAAGGAGTATGCATCTAAAAATACACTTAAAAGTCCAGGAAAAAATGGTCTATGAAATAATGTTCTCCTTCCACGTGCTTTGCATATACCCAGCAGACAAAGACAGGCTGGAAGTGAACAATATTTCATTGTAAACTGACAAAAGGACTTCATGAGTAACTGCACAATTTAGTTTAATTAAAAATTTTATTACAGTTGCCTAAGCTATCAAATGCTGAAGTAGCATAATGCCACTTGGAAATAGAATATTCCATTCTCAAACTCCTGGAAAACTAAAGAAAAATTAATCCAAAACACCAAAACCAGAAAACAATAAAACAGAAGATAGCTTCAAATTCTTATTTAAGATCAATCAGGATTTTTCAGAATTCAAAATTACTTTTCCTTTCAGAGTTATAATTATTTTGCACTTAAAAAATACGGTAAGGGAAACGATCCATAGTAGTTTGAGTTTTCTTCTGAGACACTAACTTTGTATCCTACTTTAAACAACAGAAAAAATTTACATCTTAAATTCTCATTATGTATTGAAACTACTTTCTTCCAAGCTCCAGCAAAACAGCTTTTCCCTCCAACTGAACTAAAGAAACTCACAAAACCAGAAAAAAAACCCCAGACTTTATTGATAAAGAAGATTACACTAAAAAAACCCAACCAAACACTACAAAAAAAAAAAAACAAAGCAAAAAACACAAACAAAAAAACCCACACCAACCTACAAACTGAAGAATTTTCATTTTGGCAACACTGTTTTCATAAACTTTTAACAAATGTATCTTAGTATACCAGCCAGAAGAGAATGAAAAATTAGTAGCAGACAACTATTTCTGAATTAATGGAAGACAACTCTTTTTTTCAGGCATATGCTGAATATTCTAATTGGCGTATACACATTTTAAATTCCAGGGATTTTGACAGCAATAGCCAGAAGTCTGCATAGGAATTTCTGTATTTGAGGGAAGCAAACATTCAATGAACTATAAAAACTAATGCAAATAGCCAGTTTTAAATACAAAACACACACACACACACCTAAAAAAACCCACCAACGACAAAAAAAACCAACAACAAATCACCACCATCACCAAAAAGCTTTACTTTTCCCAATAACTTGGGAAATCAGTAGCAAAACTACTTATATCATTGGTTTTCATGAAAAACAGTGAAAGAAATAGTCCTTGAATTAATTCCTTCTAGGGAATACCTGGAAATTATGGGCAGCAGAACTTAGTTATTGAAAACAAAATGCTTGCCCCTCACATGTACAGGAAATGTACCTTGTGTGCTTCAAGAGTAAGTTTCAGAAGAAAGGTAAACTTGCTGTCTTGTGACTACAAGCCATGCTCACCTCTGTACTGAACTCCACCCCTTGCTATGTGCTTACAGCGGAAACCATCATAGACCCACTGTGTGTGAGTAACTAATTAATCTCTATTGCTGACAACATGAAGTTATTTACAAACATGAGAAGAAAAGGATTTCCACATTTTATTACCAGAAAAACATTCAGCCTATTTAGGCCAAAACCAACTAGACTTACTACAATAACTTAACTTCCATGCTAGCCTTAAGTTGATTCATTTGCTCCTAACAGAAAAAGATTATTCACTACTGCAGTACCTTTTAGCCTCATTTTTCCCTGCTTTCCACCCAGATGAGTCATTAACAACCTCGCCTACCTCAGAGTATTTTCCCCTGTAGTTGCCCAGACTGCGCTCCATTCTGCGCAGTCGCTGCAGCAGCTGCTCTTTGCTGAGACTGTCCATATTTCCCACAGGCTCTTCTGTTTCACTTTCAGTGTCGGAAGGTGGATCAAAGGTGGGATTGGCTGCATCCAAGTCCAGTCGATTCAAGGAGTCTCTTGAAAAAGTTCGTACCAAGGACTCCTTAGAAGAAGAGCGGAACAGGGACTCTTTTACTGGGCTTTGGAACAAAGACTCCATGGAGGGAACTCGGAGCTGAAGCCTCTGGGCAAAAGACTGAGGGTCATTCTGCTGCAAAAAAATCAAAACAAGTAATTACTGCTCTGCTTTTAGGCAGATAGATGCACTAAAAGCCCAGGAAACAGAGACCTGACCTGGGAAAATAAACAACTGTTGCCTAACGCATGCATTACACCAAATAGCTATCACTCCCTCAGAAGAACCATCTCCTTGTGCAGAAAAATCAAGCATGCAACTACGAGATGTGGGCAATTTCAGACAGCAATTAAATCCAATAAACTACAGCTCTGATTTAAACTTCTAAAAGAATGTATTTCTGCATAATCCCTTTAAAAAGTGAAGGATATGTAACTAAAATAATTAGTTGCATTTACTGTTGTCTCAAACATAAAAAAGGGCGACTCACTTCTAGATGTATTAAACAGAAAACTGTATTTATCTCAAAGACACAAAGATATTTTCCTATGATTAAGAGAACAAATTTATTGTAAAAGTCCTTGTACAATAGTTCTAGTACACTGTCTTAAACAGCTCTTTTTAAAAAAGTTTTATTTTAAATAGCTTTATTATTTTTACATAAAACACAATTATTGATTTATGCAGCTTAAGTACTTATGCTGTTCTAAACCAAGACGTTCCATGCTGTGGTACCATATACCACTGGTGCTACAGAAGTGATTTTAAAGCATTGCTGCACGATGCTGCCTCCCATAATCAAATGTTGGGGGACACATTCTAGGAGCCACTGCTAATCCCACTCCAGCAAGCTAAACTTTTTCTGAGACATATTAAAGAATGACCTCCACCTTTATCACCAGTGACAATTTTTTTTAAGCCTATCAGCTCTTTTCCTTCAGCTAGGAATCAGCCACACAATATGCCCTCTGCTTTTGAAAGCGAGGTTAACAATCCATATTCCATGCTGGCTGTGTCCCTGAGCAATGAGAAGCACCTCAACACAGGCAGCCTGCAGCATCTTGTCAGATACTGCTAACCCGTCCCTACAAAAAAAGGCTCCACACATCACTGACAACACTTAGTACCAGCTAATGGGATTATACACAAGCAAAACACCCTAGTATCCTTGCAGGCAACTACTTGTCATCCCTACTTCAGCATAAAGATACGGACTGGGCACTTAAGCCACCATAGCACAAAGAGACACGGCAGTGAAGGAGGGAATGAATCCCCCCATACACGACCCATACCTGCGGGGAGGCTGGTCCACTGCCGTGGTTTTCTGCGGATCTGGGATGTGGTTGCTTCACTGAGTTCTACAGGAGGAAAACCAACTGTTAACAGGAATAGATTACAAGCACAGTAACTCACCAATTCCTATGCATTGCATCTGTGGTTTATCCTTGTCTGTGTTTTTAGTATTTTTTTAATGTTTTGCTAAAATGCCCTCATGCAAACAAGCTAGTGTGTTAAATTCAAAAGAGATTGCTGCAATATACAGAACTACAAAGCAACTATGTGCGCATGGATTAGTATGAGACATCTGCAAACGCTGACATCCCCAATTAAATTATTCATGATTACTTATGCACAAATCAAAGAAACACCAAACAGACAAAATGATAGCAGGAAAAATCTAATTGATGACCAGTGTTGTTTACAGCCAACATGAGTAACAGTGAAATCTCCACCCTCTTTTCTGTTTAAGTACATTTGGGGGTAGGGTGGAAACTGCCTTGAAAAACAGTACTGGTAACAGGCTTAAGAGTCCAAACAAGCACAGGACAAAAATTAGACGTGCAGAAAAAATATCCTCTGGAAAACTTCACACATACATTCCTCTGCACTCTCAAAGAAAAGCAAACAAACCTCAAAACCAACACAACAGGAAACAATAGTTTTGTGTTTTTCTTCTTTTAACAGAGTTCAGACATTTCTGTCCCTA